ATGCAGGACATTCCCGACGGGCTCTTCCTGGACTCGGACATGTACAATGCCCTGTGCAAGACGCTGCAGAGGGATTGCTTGGTGAGCTGCAGGGGGAGAGGTTTCGTGGGATCGTGGGATTGTGGAATTATAGAATCGTGGAATCATGGAATTATAGAATCATAAAACCATGGAATCATGGAATCATAGAATCATAAAACTATGGGATCATAGAATCGTGGAATCATGGAACAGAATCATGGAATCATAGAATCGTAGAATCGTAGAATCAGAGAATCAGAGAATCAGAGAATTATAGAATTATAACATCATGGAATCATAGAATCATGAAATCATAAAATTGTAGGATCATGGAATCGTAAAATTGTAGATTCATGGAATCATAAAATCATAGAATTATAGAATCATGGAATCATAAAATCATGGAATCATAGAATCATAAAATCATGGAATCATAGAATTATAGAATCATGGAATCATAGAATCACAGAATTATAGAGTCATAGAACTATGGAATCACAGAATTATAGAATCAGAAAACTATGGAATCATGAAACTATGGAATCATGAAACTATGGAATCATGAAACTATGGAATCATAAAACTATGGAATCATAAAACTATGGAATCATAAAACTATGGAATCATAGAATAATGGAATTATAGAATCATGGAATCATAGAATTATGGAATCATAGAATCATGGAATTATGGAATCATGGAATCATAGAATCATGGAGTCATAGAATTATGGAATCATAAAATCATAGAATCGTAGAATCATGGAATCATGGAATCATAGAATCATAAAATCATGGAATCATAAAATCATGGAATCATGGAATCATAGAATCATAGAATCACAGAATCAGCTGGGTTGGAAGGGACCTCCCAGATCCCCAAGTCCAACCCTTGATCCAACCCCACCGTGGTTCCCAGCCCTTCAAAAACCCTCGCTCCGTTCCACTGGGGATTAAAACCATCCCAACCCTTCTGTGCCTTTTGTTTCCTCTCCCAAAGGTCCTGCAGAGCTTCAAGATCATGGATTACAGCCTGCTGGTGGCCATCCACAACATGGACCTGGCTCAGCGGGAGCAGGGCCTGGCCGACGGCGCGGCCCCGACCGACACGCGGCGCCCGGCGCCCCAGAAGGCCCTGTATTCCACAGCCATGGAATCCATCCAGGGAGAGGCCAGGAGAGGGGGAACCATCGAGACTGACGACCAGTAAGGACAGGGGGGCTCTCCCAGTAAGGATCTGGTGGGAGGGAAGGGAGTTCTCCCGCCCCAGGAGGTGTTCGGGGAGAGGTTGGAGTGACCTGGAATAGTGGGAGGTGTCTGAGTCCAAGGTCTGGGGATCTTGGGGGATTCCAACCTAAACCATTCCAGATGGGATATCAGGGATCAGTTCTTCCCTGAGAGGGTGGGAAGGCCCTGGCACAGGTTATTCCATGGCTGATCCATCCCTGGAAGTGTCCCAGGCCAGGTTGGAGTGACCTGGGATTAGTGGGAGGTGGATCTTGAAGGTCCTTCCAACTCAGAGCATTCCAGGTGGGATATTAGGGATAAGTTCTTCCCTGGGAGGGTGATGAATCCCTGTCACAGGTTATTCCATGGCTGATCCATCCCTGGAATTGTCCCAGGCTGGGTTGGAGTGACCTGGGATAGTGGGAGGTCTCCATGTCCAAGGTCTGGGGGATCTTGGGGAATCCAACCCAAACCATTCCAGATGGGATATCAGGGATCAGTTCTTCCCTGGGAGGGTGGGGAGGCCCTGGCACAGGTTATTCCATGGCTGCCCCATCCCTGGAAGTGTCCCAGGCTGGGTCCATCCCTGGAATTGTCCCAGGCCAGGTTGGAGCAGCCTGGGATAGTGGGAGGTGTCTGTGGGATAGTGGGACGTCTCCATGTCCAAGGTCTGGGGATCTTGGGGGATTCCAACCCCAACCATTCCAGATGGGATATAAGGGATAAATTCTTCCCTGGGAGGGTGGGGAGGCCCTGACACAGGTTATTCCATGGCTGATCCATCCTTGGAATTGTCCCAGGCCAGGTTGGAGTGACCTGGGATAGTGGGAGGTGTCCATGGGATAGTGGGAGGTGTTCGTGTCCAAGGTCTGGGGGATCTTGGGGGATTCCAACCTAAACCATTCCAGATGGGATATCAGGGATCAGTTCTTCCCTGGGAGGGTGTTGAATCCCTGGCACAGGTTATTCCATGGCTGATCCATCCCTGGAATTGTCCCAGGCCGGGTTGGAGTGACCTGGGACAGTGGGAATTGTGGGAAAAGGGGGTTGGAACCGGATGATTTTCTGGGTCGTTCCCAACCCAACCCAATCCATGATTCCATGTTTGTGCTGTCCTAGGATGGGAGGAATTCCAGCCCGGAATTCCCGGGGGGAGAGGCTGCTGCTCTACATCGGCATCATCGACGTGTTACAGTCCTACAGGTCGGTAATTAATTAATGAGTTAATTAATGAATTGATCCTGCTTTGGGTTGGGTTGAGTCAGGAGGACTTTCCACCGTGTTTCGGTCTGGATTGACTCTCAAAAAATGCCTTAAACAGGGATAAACCTTTTAAAAATTATATTATTTTAACATAATTTATTATAATTTATTACAATTTAATTTCATAATAAATAATATTGTAATTACAATTATAATAATATTTTTATTATCTTTAGTATAATATAACAGTATTATATTATAATTATATATTAAAATTAATACAATATATTATCTTATAATAAATAATTGTAATATAAGTTATAATTTATCGTTATTTATTTTAAATAAATTATAAAATATATTATTTTATAATAAACAGTTATAATATGAATAATAATTTTTATAATTTAATTATGATAAATATAATAATAAATAAATATTTATAATAAATGTAATAATATTAATATAAATAAAGTGGGAGGGGGAAATACAAATTAAAATTTGTTCATTTACATTAATATGTTTATTTAAATAAATATTAAATAGATTCAAATATAATATCAATTAGATTGTTAATATATTAATATACTATATTAATGTAATATTAATATTAAATAAAAATTAAAGAAATATTTAAATAAAACATTTATAATAAAATATTTATAGATATTTATAATAAAGACTTATAATATTTATAAATAAAATATTTAATTTTCAAAAAAGGAAATATTAAATTAAATTGTTCTTCCTTCCCTGTCAGGTTTGTGAAGAAGTTGGAGCACTCCTGGAAAGCCCTCGTGCACGATGGGGTGAGTGGAAAACAGCACTTTTTTAGGGGAAAAAACCACCTTTTTAAACCATTTCCAACCACTGTGGGCTCTGAATCCCAGATTTCCCAGGCACAGAAATATTCCCCTCAGGAATAAATAAATTTTAGCTGTTTTTTGCTGTTATTTGCTCACTAATATTTGTATTTTTTGCCCTTTCAGGACACGGTGTCTGTGCACAGGCCCAGCTTTTACGCCGAGAGGTTCCAGCGCTTCATGTGCAACACGGTCTTCAAGAAAATCCCACGTGAGCCTTTGGAATTTCCTTCTTTCTCCCTGTTTTTTTTGCCCCCAGAACTAAAAAAATTATACTAAAAAAAAAAAATTAAAATATACAAAAAAATTAAAATATACGAAAAAATTAAAATACTATAAAATTTAAATATTTATATAAAAAAATTAAAATATTAAAAATTCTTTCCCTGCTTTTCCCCCTGTTTTTTATATATATATATATAAATTAAAATATTAAAATTAAAATTTTAAAAATTGAAATATTAAAAAAATTAAAATATATATTTAAAAAAATCCCACATGAGGGTTTGGAATTCCCTTCTTTCCCTGCTTTTCTCCCTGGTTTTTTTCCTCCTAGAACTAAAAAAAAATTAAAATGTTAAGAAATTAAAATATTTTAAAATATTCCTCGTTTTCCTTGGACAAAATAGGAAAATCCCACATTACAAAAAAATTTAAAATATAAAAAATTAAAGTATTAAAAAATTAAATATAAAAAATTAAAATATAAAAAATTAAAATATAAAAAATTAAA